GGACTTCGCCAGGGCTCGATCCCTGGTCTATCTTTTGCTGTTTCGGCTGCATCCCGTTTTCGGCCTGGCACCCTTTTTCCAAACCCCTCCTTTGGTACCGTAGGATTTTGGACAACTGGCGCTATGCTGCAATTCGGGCGCCACTTTCAAATACTGCATTTTTCAGTTCTGCCCTCGGGGCCTTTGCAGAAATGCCCCTGGTACCGTACGTGTCACCGGTACTTATGCCGGCTCCCCGTACGGTACGAGGAGTCTCGACCAGTTCTCTGCTGGTGTACTCGTACTCAGTGTGACTTGCCGTTTCGGCATTCGGAATCTAAGACTTCGACTTTGTGCCTTGCCACTGTGTCTGCGTCCGACCCTCAGTCCGAGTCCGTCGTGTCGAGTGAGTGAGTGTGTGTGTGCTCTCACTCTCTCCCTCTCTCTCCCTCTCTCTCATCTCCCTCGGCTCACCCTCAGCCTCACGCTCGTTACAACTACGGCGCTGCTGGGAGGAAGAAGACCGGGAGCTCTCACCTCGGCTATGGTGGGGCTCTATCGGTAGGAGGAGGAGGGAGAAGAGGACTGAGGGGGGGAGGGAGGAGGTACCTACCAGGCTATGGTGGACACCATCTTCATCACCTTGATAGGCGCTGCATCTGGAAGGCCCCAGTTGGGGTAGTGCTTCACCAAGGAAGCTTGAGACAGAGGCAGGCATGGCGGCTTGATGAGCAACGGCATAGCTGCTTTGTGTGAGGCAGAGTCAGGCATGGCGGCTTGATGAGCAGCGACATAGCTGCTTTGTGTTCTTTGGGCAGGAGCGCTGCGACATAGCTGCTTTGGGTTGTCCTTTGGACAAGAAGGCAGAGTCCACAGTAGTCCGCAATAGCCTTGGCCTACATGAAGAGGAAGAGGAAGGATGGTCATGGCTATGGTTGTGCCTGCAGTATAAGAGGGATTCGGACATTGATTCTGATTCAGCCATTCAACATCATTATTGTTATTTCTTGTTTGAAAAAAGGGAGGAGAGAAGGAGGAGGAGAGTGGTTGGCGAAGAAGAAGAGCATTGTCATTGGTCTATGATGGTGTGCATCATCTTCTTCTTATTTCTTTCTTCTTCTTCTTCTTCTTTCTCTCTCTCTCCTCTCAAGTTCATTCATTGTTTTTTGCAATTGGACGGGATTGTATTTTTGGATGAATGTGTACTTCGAAACTGGCCAGGATCGTAATAAATATAACAGATCCATTCTGGTCTATGTTGCATGCTATAAAGGTAAACTGTTTCATTCCCGGAATGGCTCATCTCAATCTGTCCCATGTACCTTGTTACAGAGGTAAACTGTTTCATTGTTGGAATGGCTCATGTCAAGTGTGCTTCATGAAGGTGGAAAGTTGTATACTGACATGGATTGTTTTGGTACTGTTTGCTGGTGGTGCGAATCTGTTTGTTGATTTTGGCAAGCACAGCCGATCACCACCAGGGAGGATGTTACGTAGCCATTCTCCTGCTGAGAAGAGGTCACGGAGTCGTTCTCCTGTTGGTCGAAGGTCTAGAAGTCGGACACCTGTTGGGCGAAGGTCACGCAGTAAATCACCTTTTCGTACTGGGGTACGGTGGGGTGGGGGATCACCAGTTCATCGTGGAGGGACTCGTTGGGGGGATGCAGGGAGGGGTGGCAGGCGTGCATGGAGTGGATCCAAGGAGCATGTATGCTTCAACTTCCAGAAAGGTAGATGCAATCGAGGCATTTCTTGTCGGTTCTTGCACATGGATGCCTCAACTGTAGGTTTGGATAGGAGGGGTGCTTTTGAGCGGGATGTGGGGTATGGCAGCAAATTAAGGGGGTCTGATCGGGATCGAGACAGGGAGAAAGAAAGAGAACGGGAAAGAGAAAGGGGATGGGTTGAAGGGTTGGGGAGTGAATCCAGGGAGGGGCATGACAGAGGGAGAAAGGAAACAAGTGATTGCCAGAGAGAGTGGAATGGAAATGGCCTGGAGTCACGGACAGTAATCCAGTGGCGAGACAAAGTTTCTCTAGTGGCTCCATCGCATCGAAGATGGGTAGATAGAGAGGAAACTATGGCAGGCAAAAGTGAGAGGGAAAAGGATTTGCTGGATCCTCAGAGAAAGCAGGGGGAGTGTCTGGGAGAAAGGGCGACTACTCCTAAGCAGGTGTGGGAAGAGACAGGAGTTGAAGGGCGTGAAGCAGGATGGGAGGTGGGAAGAGCTGCCACACTGAAAGAAGATTGGGAAAGCAAGAGAGTTATGATGCCAAACGAGTGGGACTCTGACCGCAGTCCTGCAACTGCTGAATCAAACGAACGGTGGGGGGATGGATGCGTACAAGGGAGAGTGGGTGAGCCTGTACAGAAAGAGCAATGGGTTGAAGAGAGAGTAGATGCTGGGAAAGAGGAGCCTAATGTGGAAAATATGCATGGTTGGGCAAGTTCTCCCTTGCCTTCACTGGTCTCAGAGGCCTGCATTGAGGCACAAAATAACAAAATGGTATACAGCCATGGGATGCCACAAAATCAGTCAGGGCAAACAGAAGAACTGCAGGGAAGTTCTGACAAGGGTGGACTAATGAGGTCTTCTTTGGTCATGGCGTTGAATTTACCTCTTGATGGATCTGCAAGACATCTGCCTGGTTCTTCAGGAACTGGTGATATTGATGTCTTAGATCGAGCGGCCGTTCCTCTTGGTAATGAGCTACACCCACCAGTCCCGACAAATGCATACATGCAACTGCCGCCTGTAAATGATCTTCCAGCACGCATTGGAGATTACAACTCTCCTGCAGCTGTGAAGTATGGGACACATGCTCCTTCAGTTCCTCTGATGATACCTCAAGGTGGGCCACAATCACTCCCCATTGTAATTATTCCCCCATTGGCTCCTCTTCCATTGTCCGTAAACCAGATGCAGCCTCAGCAGCAGGTGCAGCACCAGCCATTGCACCAGCTCCAGCAGCACCCATTGCAACAGGTCCAGCTTCATCTGCAGCAACAGGCGCAACAGCATTCACATCAACAGGGCTATCAGCAGACACATCACGAGGTCCAGCAGCAGCCACATCAGAGGGAAATGCAGCTGCAGCATCAAACACACCATCAGGTCCCTTTGCACACAGCTGAGCAGTTGTCAGTGCTAATCCCGCCTCAGCAGGTGGGACCTTCACTACCTCCACCTCCTCACTCGAGGATGCAGGTCATCCCTTCTATTGGAATGTCACCCTTATCATCATTGCCTCCACCCTGTCCGCCGCCAATGGTGCCAACACAGTTTCCAGCATGTGGAGGTAGTGCCACATGGCCGAGGCCTCTTCCTCCACAACTGCAGGAAGAGATGCCTCCACCACCGCCACCTATGTACATTGCTCAGAAGCCAGTCGAAGAGCTATACGATCCGTTGGCAGATGGGATGGACGATGGATCTAATACAGGAGCGATTGCTGAAGAGGCGCTTCTAAAAGACGTTGTGCCTCTGAGCCACGATGTCTTGGGTCCTGTTGCGGCTCATGAATGGAAATCAACAACTGAGCCTCCTCAGGTAGAGGCTTCTGAAGTACAAATGGAGGAGTCGACAGCAATGGCTGCAAGAGCTATTGCAGCAGGAGGTACATCATCACCAGCAGGAGCACCTACAGTGAGATTTATTGCAGCAGATACGTTAGCAGTGAATCAGCCAGGGTGTAACAATAACCATCATGGTGACAATGATGATGACGATGATGATGATATGATGGCTATGGAGATCCATAAAATGGAAGGATTGTCACCAGCTACTGGGCTCCAGCCAAAGCCAGAGTCCAGAGCAATGATGCTTTTGAGGAATCGTGTGGCTGATGTTGTCAAGCAGCTTCTTAAACCAACCTGGAAGGAAGGGCGTATGAGCAGGGATGCTTTCAAAATCATTGCGAAAAAGGCCGTTGATAAGGTTGTAGGGGCGATTGTCCCTACTGCAATGCCGAAGAATCAACGTGCAGTGGATGCATTCTTTACTGTTTCAAGGAAGGACAAAATCGGAAAGCTTGTTCAGGTGAGATCAAGAACTTGTCCGCAGAAGTTTAGCAAATAGGAAAAAAGACAATCGTGCTCATGAGGAAAAGGAGCGTGCTTAGAAGTATACTATGGTATGCATAAGAAAGAAGAAGAAAAAACGAATTGTTTTTTTCTTGTTCTTTTCTGTTTTTTTCGCTCTGATATTCATGTGACGATATGTATATAAGATAGATAGATAGATAAAAGTGCACTCTTTTAGTTCATAGTTATGTGATGGGGTGTGAACCGACAGTCTGTAGAGTTTTCCATCTGGTGTGGGTGAGTGATAGTCTACTTTGATTTTGGTTAAGGTGGATTATCACTTACAGTGTAATCAGTGAGGGGGGATTCTACAGACTGTTGAGGGTTCAGCCTCCTGATGAGTCGGTGAAACTCCGACGAAACAGTTTGTCACAGCCCCTCGTTTGTTGTCCTC